AACTGAGAGGGGGGTCCCTTCACAAGGAAATCAATCTTTCCAGGTACCTCCCCACAGGTGCCATGTTAGTTGGAGGAAGGGTACCAAGCAAGGAATCAACCGACGAAAATTAAACCAATCCATCCAAGTTGAATGATATGGGTATGTCTCCCAAAAAGCTGGACCCTTCATCCGGATGGCTTCCCAAGCCGCGAATCCGCTTCGCCATGCATGAAGCTCTGAAGGCGCACTCTGTGCAGCCCGCGTACATCTTGTTGGAACGGGGCCGCTCGTGGCAAATCACCTGAAGCGAAGGTGGAACTTTCATCGGGGTGCAACCCGTTCAAGCGGGCATCCGGATCACATTTTTTGCGGAAGCACCCCCTTGTCCATCAGGTTGCTTGATTCCAAGTCGAAAAACGCCACCAGCGAAGTGCCTTTGCCTGTCACACGATCATCGGACCATGGTTGAAAGGATTGCAATCCTTGCAAGAGTGCGCCTTATGTACAGGGCACCCGGGTGAGTCAGACAAAACTGGATCCCCTAGAAGCCAAAAAAAACGGATTCAGAGCTCCTTCCAGGGTTTCAACACCAGGCCCGTGAAGACCTCTGAGATCGGGAAGCAAAACGTGGCCTGCGTGGCTCGTTCCCCAAAGGCTGATGGATGGCAACCGGGCCCTTCTGTTAGGAGGGTATCTGATCATCTACAAAACCTGGGGCCGTGTTCAAAGTCAGAATTTGGGGTGGTTTGCCTTTAGCCACCACTTAGGGGGTGACTTTGATACTGGAATAATGAGGCCAGTAGGGCCAAGGCAAGAAATCTAAAGCATCAGATCGACATGCTGCCTTTCGAAAGGCGATGGCCCTAAATACGCTTCTCTATGCGATTGCAAAACTTTCACGACGCAACTTGATGAACCAAGGTGCATTGCGAGCCACTAGGGCTTCGTTCCGGATGGAAAAAAAAAAACATGTACCCCTCTTTGCGTGGGTCCTGACAGCTTCCATGGCCTCGACAAGCTTCTATCCCTTCTGGAGGGGTGCAAGTTGCAATGCAGCAGAAAGCCGGTAAACAAAAAATACACACTTAAGGCGCTGGCATCTCCCGAAAAAAATAAATAAAATAACAAATCCACCTGTGCAGAAATGTGTCACAAAAAACTGAAAATGTATCGCGATTGAAAGAGAGAATTCGCCATTCTTAGACGACCACATTCCAATGTTCGAAGAGTAGTCATGAGCGGCAGTCTTTAGCAGATCTTGACACTTTGCCTCGAGTGGAGTTGAACTCCAAGTTAGGGGGCAGAAATCGATGTCAGGCCAATCCGGCGATCCGGCGATCGATAGCCAGGCTTCGGCGCAAACTGCAATTCCCACTGCCCGCCCGCGGTCTTTCTCTTTCGGCGTGGATCGATGTTGGTCTGTGAGCGTCTCCAGCTGAGAACTCCCCAGGTGTCGAGTTCTATGCTAAGTCCATGCGGAGTCAGGCGCTTCTGCCAAAAGGGATCGAGATTCTCTGTCAAATTTTTTTAGGTCGACGTCTCCCGAAATTCATCCGAACCCAAGGAACCAGCTGGTCAACTCCCCGCTCTGGGAAGCGAGGAAAATGTTGAAACCGGCCAAGCGGAGCCCGGCTGTGCATCCTGTACAGGTCCTGATGCTGCCAGCTCTCCTGCAGTCTGGCAAGATGGAGTGCACGTGTTTAGGGTGCCACCTTCTCTGGCTGGGTTGGAGGAAACCAAAAGGAATGCCACGGGAGATCCCCCTTATGACAAACCCGAATGGCGGTGAAAAGGCTGGCTCGGACTCGAGTTCCACTTGTCAGACTTGCTGGAGGCTTCGGCTCCCTGCATCTAGCCACAAGTTGGGCCGTTTTAGTCAATTGGGGTGTCTTCAACAGGTGTCAAGAAGTGTCGTCACACCAACCTTGACCTTAATTGAAAAAAACATGCACGGCCCTTTAGACTTCGAAACGGCGCTTGCCGCGCAGCCGCTGTAGTGGAACAAGTTGCTTCGGCTGCGCACAGCTCTGTCAAAACTCGCCAAAATATTCGCGCTGCACCGTGGGCGCGAAGGGCGCGAAAGGCGCTCCGCGACCACATGAATTCCAAACCACTCAGGCACTGACCTGCGCAGCAAGCCCAAAACGCCCCTTTACGATGTAATACCGTCAGCAACCCCAAAAAAAATCGCGCCAGTCACCCTGAATGGCCCGAGGGGTAAGGATACCGACCAGAGATTCCCTGCCCTTGGCTACGTACTGGTTTGCCTCTAATTGGGCTGGTGACTGACTTGAACATAGGGGCTGCAATGAAGATGGATTTCTATTTTTGGGAACCGTTTTGGTGGACATCGAAGGTGATGGACTCCTGTCCGCCAAACATTGTTTTGGAAAAAATGTTGAAGGCTAGGGCGAACTGCTGAAGAATACAGGTTCAAGCGGTTCGTGGTTGGAGTGGGAACGTTTGCTTTGTAAGGTTTTTCCCCAGAAGCGTGCGAAGGGGTCAAAAGGTGAAACTGTTTGCAGATAGTAGGCTTGAAATTGCTGTTCGACAGGTCAAACCAAAGAGCCCTCTGGTGCCCCAGGCAAATGGATTCCCTGGGAAACGTGCCAGGGCCGTTCGTCGTAAGATCGTGCCGGCTGAGTACGGCTGAGCGTCGCTGAGCACGGGCTTTGCATGACTGAGCACTTCATGGGGGGATCAGGCTTGTTTGGGGCGGTCGGGATGGTCAAGGTGTTTGGGATGGTCGGCATGGTCGGGAGGTTGGGGTGTCCGGCGAGCTGGCATGGTCCAGTTTTTGGCGAGGTGCAAGTGCGGAGGTGTACGCCAAGGGAATCAGGCTTTTGTGGCGCGGTTAGGGTCGGGATGGTCGGGAGTAGTGTCCGGCAAGGTCGGCACAATCCAAATTTGTCGCTTGTTTTGGGCGGTCCACGATGTTGAGCGCTTCTTAGCATCAGGGCACATGGACCTTGATTGCGACTCGAAACTTTGGGGGGACAAAATTGCGACGCTTCTTTATTCGCGATACCCGAGTACCATGAATCGCGTGCGGCTTGCCGCAGCAAGCAAGGGGGCCGTTCTCGGGTTTCGGGTTTGCGTTGACTCAGAAGAGAAATCCACAGTAAATTCCTTGCAGGGCTACACTTGTGCTGAAAGTTCGTCAGCAGCCTTCGGCGGGCCGGCCGCGGAAAGGGCAAAACACAAAGCCCCCTTGTCCCAAGACTGTGTGGCAATGTTTGCACATCATTGTGAAAAGCCTACTCGCATAACATGAAGTGTTTTTGCTGCTGCCTCTGTTACCAGTGTTGTTTTTTTCACTGAGCATGTTCTGACGGAGACCAGTCCCCCCGACCCACCCAACACCCCTACCCAACCCTTGTCATCTGATCCCAACCAACCTCCCACCCCCCCCACCCAATCTACAACTACACCCTCCCAACCCCCAATCCCCACCAATCCCTTAAAACTTGGCAAAGTAGTACACACGTCTGCTGGTGAAGAAGGGGGTTGTAGGGCCTTTCTGGCTTCTCTCCATGGCTTGGTTGGCATTCTCCTCCTGGTCCGTAAGCTTACCATCAATCGTGCCGGCACATACGCAGGAGCCATCATACTTCTTGTGTGCTTGTGGAACTAGAGATGTGAATGCAGCGCTCTGCCACTCTCTTTCACTTGTCTCACAAGCTGGCTGGTCATTGACCTTCTTGCCGCATGCCTGCCAAATGCTGCCCCCAAGCTTATCTGCACTTGTTGGGTTGTTTGATTTACAGTAGGTATAGATATAGCATGTCTATAACATGTCAGAAACAAACCAGGCTTTTGTTGACAAACACAAAACACATCATGAAGACAGAACAACTACACCTTACTGCTCTGGTCGGGATGGTTGGGATGTAGGTGCCAACCGCCGATTTTTCACACCTCCCAAAGGAATCAGGCTTGTTTGAGGCGGTCGGATGAATCAGGCTGCGGCGGGGCGGTTGGGGTGGTCGGGACAATTGCATGTTTGCAGCAAGGTGCGAGCCGTCGCCCTCGCAACACGACCAACGCGTCTTGACCGTCTCAATCATCCCGGGTGAGGGGAGTAGGGGCTGCAGTCTGCAAGCCAGGAGGAGAACACGACAGCAAGCAAGCAGCTGAGCAACCACTTTTGACCGAACCCTGCCACGTGCGCTGCTGCGCCTGCCACGGAATCCTGGTCCGTGCTACGGGCCTGGCTCCGAACGCTCTCTGAGCCTGCTCCAAGCCTGCTCCGAAGGCTCCGACCGGGCGCCGCAATCAGGCCAAGTTTCGAGCCACGGAGAGGGCTGAGCACTTCAGCTCTGTCAGAGAGCTAGCAATTAATTCGTTGTCGTGCCACGGAAGCTCCCTCTGAACTTCCTTGACTAGCGGACCAGAAAACAAAGATACACCTTGGGAAAAAGATACACCTTGGCACATCTGGCGAAAAAGCGCAACTTCTCCGCACACGGCCGAACACCTGCTCGGTCAGTCTACTTTCAGCTCTAATCTACCTGCTCCGCCCTTCCTTGCCTCTCGGTGCTCGTTCCTCCTCGCCCGCTCGTGCTCGGCCCTTGGCCTGCTCGGTTTGCGCGGCCTGCTCGGCCGACTCGCCCTGCTCGGCCCTAGTCGGCCTGCTCACCCTGCTCGGCCCTAGTCGGCCTGCTCGGCCTGCTCGGCCCTAGTCGGCCTGCTCGGCCTGCTCGGCCGAGCACAATTTTCCTATATACCACCATTTTGAGGCACAATCGTAAAGAGCCGCTTGCCATTTAAGCGCATCCTCTTCAGGAGCGTCAGCATTTTCTGGTGGTCCACTGCCAGGAGAAATCTTACATCTTTCAAAATTCCGACCACAACCAAGCCCGCCCAAACGGGGGGGGGTGTCTTTCTTGAGGGTACTTCCTCTGGGTTGGTGTTTAAGGGAGGCCAAAAGGAAAACCCACATTTTGGGGGGGTCCCCCGAAAAACAAGGACGCACCCAACTTTCCATCCATGGCCTCTTGGGGAACCTTGGCGCGGTCTCACGCGGCGACGCCGAAGAAGACCTCCGCAGGTCTCATTTTGGGGGGGACCGGTCTGCCCGTTGCAGAAACTGGGGGCAACCACAAGAGAAACCACTTTTGGTTGGGGCTCCTGAGCCAGGCCAATGGAGCACGCAGGGTGGGACCTAAGACCTCCTGGTGTCCCAAGAAAAACCTGAAAAAGAGTGCAGCCTCAAAACACCCACGCCCAAATTGAGAAAGGGCGGCCCAACCCCTGCGATCCCCGTCTCGCGGCCTTTCTGTAGTCCAGGTCGCCGTTTTTGAGCTCCACACGGACGGTATCGCCGTCCTGCCAAAAGCTGATGAGCACTTCCATGACTTGCTGGTGCTCAGATGAGGGAATGAACCCAGGGGTCTCCTTAAAGGAAACCAAGTGCTGAGCACCAGCAAAACGAGTGTTGCTTCATTGCCCTCTGCAACAACCCCTCTGCAAAAAAGGTCAATCACTTTGTTGCGGGTTCAATGGAAAGCCCAACTTGCTTCCAACCAAAAAGTTGAAGTCTGAAGATCCAACCCAATAGCAATCAAGGTTGGAACGAAAGTAACCCAAGCCCAAGGAAGTGATGTGCTTGTGACTCCACTGTGTGGTTGAGACCCGATTTGCCGAGCAGGGCCTAATCTTCGGTCTCTGTTCGAGGATGGTCAGGATGCTTTTTGGCCAGTGTGTGCGTGTGTGTGTGTGTGTGTGTGAGACATCGAAAGAAGGGGTGTTCTATGAATGCAGTATAAAGAGAAGCCTGTCGATACAATCCGTCCACGTGCGAATATTGTCAGACACAAGGGAATGGTTCAAGCTGCGAGGAAGCAACGAAGGCATCGAGTGTTGTCCCTTCCCACAGCTGTAACCACAAAAACTGACAAACAGGAACAACTTGTCATACTCCATTCAGGAGCCCAAGCAAAACTACATCTCTAAAGGAACGCCAAAAGGAAAACGGAGAAAACATGTGGGGGTCCCCCAACTTCGAGGGTCTTGGTTGCTCTTGACCCTCCTGCAACAAGTTTTCACTTTTGGGGGGTTAGTAAGGAAAACCCCGAAGTTGATTTCAACCAAAAAGATAAAGTCTAAAGATCCGTTACCCAATAGCAGTCAAGAACCAGGCCCCAGCTTTGTCAAAACCCCGTAACCCCCGTGAACATCCCAATTTTCACTAAGATAGACTAAAATGGGTGGTGCACCTACCCCAAGATGGGATCCCATTAGATTTGACAACCACAGCCACATGTGGGGAGTCCCCGGATCTCAAGTCCGTCTCGTCACCTTTTTGCCCTCCACTCAGCGGCCTGGAACTCCCCGGCCAAACCCAGCTGCGCCAGCGGCGTCTCCACGTTTGCCACGATGGATCTGGCTGAGGGCCGTGCCCAAAGCAACCGTTGCCTTTAGAGAGCCATGGGGGTGTGGCTCAAAACTGGGGGTCCAAAATGGAACCCTGGCAAATGAAAAGGTAGACTAAAACCTGCATAAACGCCAGTGGTTTAATTTTGAGCTGTACCCATGGAGGGCGGATTTTTTGGGGCAATCTCTCATGGCCTCCATCTGCTTCTTCGCCCCCTGGAAAACAATAAAATAAATTTATGGTAGTGACATCGATCCCCGTTAAAAAACCAACAGGGAAAAATAAGAACATATTCTTAAGCACATGGAAGAGGGTGCAATACAGATCTTACAATCATGATATGCTTGGGGTATGTCGGGATCGCCAACAGTTCAGCCCGCTGTTAAACTGCATCCTTTCATCAAGTGTTGTGGCTTCTTCCAGCTGACAATGTCGCCATGATTTCATGGGATAAATCAAAACATGAAACCTGCCGAACAACCAAGCGCAAGCAGCGGAGAAGACCAAGGAAAACAGGGCCCAAGAGCAAGGTGACTCCAGCTGTTTTCCGTGAGCCCAGATTTTGGCAACTCAAGTTGAAGCTCTGCCACCCGTCGCATTCTTTTCCCGGCCAAGCCATCCAACCCCAGTGCACTCGGCCGGACTCTCCCCCGAATCATTCAACCGACGGTTGTCACGGAGCCAAGACTTGCGATCGGTTCTCAACTGAGAACAAGAGAACCCGAGCTGAGCCACCCGAATTTCGGTCTGTTCAAAAATACCTGCCAAAAAACACAGCCCCCATGCAAATCAAACACCACTGGATTTCCAATCAAAACAATGTCCGCTAGGGCCCCCAAACCGAACCCCCAACCAACCCCACCCCATGTCCAAGCCTTTGCTTTTGTTTCATTTCAAGCTCCGAGCTTCCCCCACCCAAAGCAACCCTCCCTGCCCTCCCCGCCCACAGCCGAGCCCAGCCCCACGGCCGAAGCGAAGCCGCCTTTTGATGGGCCGCGCGCCGAAGGCGGGGTCGTAGCCCCGCTCCGCAATGAGCTCCAGCGCCTCCTCCGACACCTCCAAGGTGATGGACCTCCCGAGACTTCGACGGAGCGGAGCGGAGCGGAGCGGAGGGGCACGGCCGCTGGGGGGAGAAACCCCGCCCCGAACCCCGGCCGGCCGGCGCCAAGGAAGAGACGGAAAAGCCAAGCCACTTTGCTTGATGTGCAACAGCCAAGCCATCTTGTAAAAGCCAGCCAGTCACTATACAGATCACTGCCAAGCCCCGCGGGCCCTTCCTTCGATCACTTCGCTTGGGCTCAAATCTGAAGTGAATCCCCTCGAAAGACCCCAATCTCTCTAAGACTCTAAAGTCAACTTCAAACGTAGCATCAAAGCCTCCCCCAAAGCCGGGCGCCTGTCTTTCAATCGCTCCTGGACCCTTTCCAGCTGCAGCCTGGCACGGAAGATCCAAAAGAATGGGTCCTTTCGAGCCGAACCCCCGGCATGCCAAAAGCTTTGAACAATTTGAGAGGAAGCAAAACATTTGTCCAGAGGTACCTGCCCAATCATGGAGCCTAACTGGGAAGCTTCTAGAAATGTTCCTTTACATACATTCCCGCGCTTTCCGTACTAACACGGCTGAAAGGCTATGCTAAAAACATCTTCGTTCGAGAACCCAGCGCAAAGCGTCATGATTGGCAGGTGTCAAAGGTTTGCAACTCAAGGTGTTAAGCAATTGCTGGGAAACTCGCCAAACAATGCTGACTGCCCACGCTTAGGTGGCAGCCAAACAAGTTGTAGTCAAAGCGGAAAGAACAGCATATGGTTGACTGCTTGAACGTCACACATGTCCCGGGGAAGAAACCAAACAAAGTGTGCTGGAGGGCATTGCATACTTCTTTGGCAATGCTGTACCGAAATAGGGGAGCTGACATGAGTGACTTGTGATTTCCGCTGTAGCGATTTTCTGTTGCCGACCGGTCTGGACCACGCAAGAAGTCAACAGATTCCACGCCCTCTTTGGAAGGACTGGGGAAGAACATCCCCGAAATTCTCCCGACCCCCCTCATGGCCAGTCATATGTCACTTGAACATCATCAGCCCCAATTGGTCCAACAATCGATGACAAAAATTGCGGGAGATGTAGGGACCACCCACTACTCAATCGCGACAACGGCTCGTTCAGAGCACCTGGCAATCTGCTTCAACTCCTCCTTGCCCAAGGGCTTGAAGATGATCTTCCTACGAACGGAAGGCCCGGCAAGCAAGCAAGCGAGCAAGCAAGCAAGCAAGCAAGCAAGCAAGCAAGCAAGCAAGCAAGCAAGCAAGCAAGCAAGCAAGCAAGCAAGCAAGCTTCAGGGCCAGACAGGCGGGCATGCCAAAGCGAGCTGCCCACGCCCCGGTCGATTTCTCTGATTTCGGGCCAACAAGGATTCCCCCTCCCTGCCGTCAACCTGCGAGGGGGATTTTAACCAAACTGCCCAGTGCTCTAGCGCCAGCCAAACCTCCAAGCATGAGGACTTCACACAAAATGGGCTTCTCAGGTCAATAACCATAGGTCCAAAATGGCAAGCAGTGCAAAACATGTCAGAAATCCCCTGTCAGAGGCCAGAAAATTCCTTTTGCCGCCCTTTTGGGGGACCCTCTTGCCAATCATGGAACCCAACTGGCAAGTCCTGGAAACCTTTACGGGGCCCTCTGCTGGAAGCCATGGCAACATGGACGGACGGGGGGTGATGGTGATCTTCCACGGCCCTGTCCACTTCCATGATTTAAAGTCAGAAAAGAAAAACAAAGAAGCGCGTTCCCAAAGCACCAAAGGCCCTTTGGCAGGCTGTATGACGGCCCAATCACTGGCGGACTGGCCCAAATGGTCACCACCATGGGGCTAAAAAAGCGCTGCTGTCTGCCAAAGGGACCACCGTCTGGCAAAGGGACGAAAAGGTCCTTTTGCCAAAGGGAAAAAAGGCGCTGCTGTCTGGCAAAGGGATCCAAAAACCCCACCATCCCTTCACCTGGAAACATTCGTCCGGAAAGGCCCCCAGACGCCTACGCCCTTCGGAAGTTTTTTTGGCTCCGGGCGGCTCGTCCACGCGATTCAGCAGCTCCGGGCGGAAGCTCCGCATCATGGCCTCCTGGCCGCTTCAGTAGTCGGGGGCCTTGCCCCGCAAATAAATTGCTTCATACATACCCCCCACCCTACATTTTGTTTCATCTTCCATCTTCTACCCTTATTTGTTTTCATCATTTTTCTACATTCCTTTCTGTCCATCTCATCCGTTTTTTTTATCATCATTTTTCCAAAATTTTCGCCATCCTTTTCTCCTTTCTCCTCGCCTCATTCATTTCACCAACTACCCTCCAAAATGTCATTTCCTCAATCTCCTCACCTCATTCATTTCAAAAAAATAAATTTTGCAAAATATATTGCAAAAAATATTTGTCATCAAAAAAATATTCGAACTGTCTAAAAACGATTTGTCCATTTCCCGGACAAGAAATAGAACAGCAACAACATCACTCTCCTCCTTCGTGTCATCACTTTTATCATATATTTTTTTGGGCGTGGTGTCGCTTGTAGGATTTTATGGTGGTTAATATCAAACTCATCACTCCTAATCAGTAAATGATACAATAGTGTTCATATTATTGTATCAATCACTCTAAGTTTCCCTATGCTTCTCCATTATGTGTTTTTCCCATTGATACGGTAGAAAACTGGCTCTACATGTCAAGCACCTAAAATGCTTCTTGCCATCTATGATTTTGATTTCATCAGGTTCTGGCAGTTTCTCCTCAGGGTTCTCGCTTCTTCTCAGGTTTCCTTGATGCCATGCTGTTTTCTCGTGTCTTGCTTTGCTTTTTAGTTGCACTTCAACATCGCATAACGAACAACAATGCATTCTTGTTTTGTATTCCTTCATGTATTATCTTTGCCTTTCTTGGTATTTTTCAGGATTGTTCTTTCTATCTTCCCTTCTGTATTCTCTGTACTTTTCAGGGTTGTTGTGGTAGTGTCTTTTATTTTTTGCTCTACATATATTGCAAGTCTTGAACCCTTCTTCAAACTTGTCGGCTTTTTGATTGAACATGCATGTGCTACAATACCTTCTTTCAATTTCCATCCTTATTATCTATAGGTGTTCTCTCTTTAAGTGTAAATCCAAGCCTACAATAATGAAAAAATGTAGGCGCGGTGTCCCTTGTAGGATTTTATCTTCAATATATAAAACGCTATACTTACATTATAATTATAACATATAAGGGTATAAATGTTATTATTATAGTATGGTTTTAATCTATCTTATATTCAAGTAATAATATTTATCAAGCTCATGCTCGTAAAATAATTGCACAGCATTAATATTTATGTAATATCGATTCCTGATTTTTTGGTATTTAAATATATGATTCAATAACTGATAGTTGAATACTGAGAATGTTGAACGCTTAAACCGAAAACGATAAGTAGACATAATTGGATATACTTCTTTTCGCGGAACTAATTTAGTTTCTATATTATTTATTGCCTGAATAAACTTATTGTATATTTGGGCTTTTTCTTCTGCCCTTCTTTTCTCTTCTTCTACCTGTTTAGTTTTACATTCCTTGCATAATATTAAACTTGTATCACTTGTCGGAAAATCATCATGAACGTGTGTTTCTTCCACGCATCCACAATTCTTAGTTTCTCTTGATGTTAAAGTCCATCCCATATTTACTATAATATATATAGTTGTTATTTCTTTAAATACTTTTTACAAGAAATAAAAATAAATATTGAAATATAATTATAACATATAAGGGTATAAATGTTATAATCATAGTATGATTATAATTTCAGTCATTAGTATTTAAATAATCCTTTGTAATCTTTACTCAACTTTTGAGCAGAATTTCTCAACTTTTGAGCAGAATTTCTCAACTTTTGAGCAGAATTTCTCAACTTTTGAGCAGAATTTCTCAACTTTTGAGCAGAAGTTTCTCAACTTTTGAGCAGATTTTCTCAACTTTTGAGCAGAGTTTCTCAACTTTTGAGCAGAATTTCTCAACTTTTGAGCAGAATTTCTCAACTTTTGAGTGGGGTTTTGGGTCAGGGTTGTGTGTGTGTATTTTCTTTCTGGGCCCGCCCCTAATTCAAACTCATCAAAATTTCCAATATTAAATCACTAGGTATTTTATATAGGTCGTCCTGTTTATGTATTATTGGATTGTCACCCCATTTTTCCTTAGTGCCTGATGGTAGCCGTTGTGCTGTTTCAATATGTTTATTATTCCTGATGTTGCCACAATCCTTTTTACATAATTCTCTAGGTTTCCAAGTTGTAATGTTATTCCAGAGCCTAGTGCGTTTTCTGTAAGGCATTCCATACTTGCAGTAATCAACATCTTTAAAATCAAACTCATCCATAAACTCCTGATGTTTTAATAATCCAGTTTGTGGATTTTCGATTACAAAATATTTAGGATTGAAATATTTGATAATCTCAATAGTTTTTAACACAATACTATTTGCATATTCGATATTCCTAATTCCCCTAGTTTTTGCTATGCTGTATTCAGTGCATGGGGGACTACTCCAAATAAAATCAAAATGGTTTCTGTCAAACTGTTTGTAATCCCACTCCAAAATATCAGTGTTGATATCAGCATTTTTCAAGTCTAATGATATCACATTAAATCCAAGCGACTTTGCTATGGTTCCGACTGAACCACTACCTGAAAATAACTCTAATAAATTCATTTATTAGAACTATTTAGATTAAATATTTTGGTTTAAAAAGTCTTGATGTTTTTTACTTCTTTCGTGCACTGCTTTTATATCTCTTCTAATTACTGACCCACAACAACAGGTATATTTGATTTTTCGTTGCTGTAATCTAACATCTCTATTTCTCGCGTAGCGTTCCCTATCACGTTGTCTGATTTGTTCTGCTTCGTCTTCTTTGTATTCGGCAACAGTTCTTCCTGCTATGTGTTTGTTCAAATCAGGTTTCCATTCTCGTATTATTTCACCTTCTCTTTTGTGTAATTCTTCGTTAGTATTACACGGGAAGTATTCAATAAGTTCTATGTAAAACTTGTCTATACCTCTATCATTCATAAACCTATAAACCTTATAATTATTTGCTCTTATATTTCTGGTTGTTTTTCTGTGCTGTGCCATTCTTTCACTTAATTTCTGTGTTGTGCTTCCTATGTATGTGCTATCATTCTCGGTATTTCTAACTATGTATATTTTACCATTTGAATAGTCTTTGTGGTTCTTTCGTGATTTAACTGGTGTTGTTTCCTCCATAGTGTTTAATGGTGTTTTTTGTTTAAGTGAATATTAGAATTACTTAGATATTAATTATTCAAATAATACATATACTTCATCATCATTTTTTGTAATTTTATAAAACTCTAATGTTTGTTGCTTTGGTTGTTTGATTTTTCCTGTATTCAACATATCGCAGTATTTCTTTTGCTTTGTAGGGTAGTCGCCCGATGGTCTTCCTATAGATTTTGCTTGAAATATCTTTTCGATTTTCTCCTTCTCTTCGTTGCTTTGTTGTTCGCGTTCAACTGGTTTCATTTTGTCATCAATGGATTTAATCATATCATTTAAGTTTTTGATATTTTTACCAATTAATGTTATCTTCTTCATTAAATCATTAATAGTATAATTCTCATTTTCAGACATTACTATATATTTATTTAGATAATTATTTATTTAATTATTTATATTTATAAAGTGCAATTATGTTAAATCTACTCTTTAAATACTAATTTTTCATGATTTGTTTAACAATTTCCTGAGTTTCGTTTTCATTATTATCGGTTGGTGTTGCTTGCCTACCAAATTTAAAAGTTATACTATGGACATCAGTTTCTAAGTTGATACTGTCTTTAGTTTTATCAATATTCATTTTCTTATCATTTTTACTTATTTTGAAACTTGTTGGAATACATGAACATTTACATGATTTATTATTTTTTATTTGTAATTCATTCTTAAGTTCTAACATTCTTTTGCATGTAGGACAAACAACCTCAATAACTGATGTTTCTTTAACAATTTCTTCATCTGTTGAAGAAACACTTAAACCTATCTTATTCTGTTTGGTTTTCTTTTTTGGCATTTATATTAATATTTATATTTTTAATATATTGTATCAAAAACTTAATTAATTCTAAAATAAAATAACATATTTTTTTACATCTATTATCAGTTATGACAACCCGTTCTATATTCTCCATTTCATTTATTATATTAATATAATCTGTATAACTCCTTTTCATATTAAATAATAAGATAAATTATTTTTCATTTCTGCCTTTCTCTTCTTGTAAAGTTTTTTCATTGTATCGTCTTTATTCCATCTATATTCTACAAATTTCTGATGATGTTTTGAATTTAGATGTTTAAATAAATATTTGCTATCATAAGTTTTACAACAATTGCAATGGATAACCGTCATATAATAATAAGATAAAATAATTATTTAAATTATTTAATCTTATTATTTTCATGCATAATAGAATATTGGTGGGGCACAGCACTTGGGGTTTTCATTGCACACGCGAGAGAGATACAAACTAATTAGCTTCAATGCTTATTGATTGTAGCAATGGAAAACCTGTTCCATTTTATGATATTCGCCACCAGCATATCATAAAAAATGATGGTCGCGTTAGCACGCGAGGCTCGTTCCTCACGTCCATTTAATATTAATTACAAGTTAATTTTTAAATATAATTTTCTATATATCTTTAATATCAACTATGACAGATGTTCCAATAATAAAACCAATAAACATAACTGAATATGAATTCAAACAATCTAAATATGAGCACGTGCCAAAATTACCATTTAGAAGTATTATAGTTGCTTCTTCGACAGGCGGTAAGACTGTCCTTATTCAAAATTTAATACTGAATGTTTATAGAAATTCATTTGCAAGAATATTTATATTTTCCCCCAGCGTCCATAACGACCCTACATTTACAGAAGTTAAAAAATATATCAGGGATGAATTGCACGTGGATGATGAAAAAGAACAAATTTATTTTGATAATTATAATCCAAGTGATTTAGAAAATGTAATTGAAAGACAGAAGAAAATTATTAATTATATGAAATCTAAAA